ATTGAAAATGTGTAAGTATGAAAATGTGTCTTCATTTGACGTACTCGTATTAAGGTGAACGAAAAACCCTATTTATTAAGGGGCAAAAGTTAGGCAATATTTAAGAAAAATGTATCTACTAACTAATTTTAATGTAAAAAAAATATTAAGTTTTTTTTAGCTATAAAACTTTTAAAGATATTTTTCTCCGAGTTATAGCGAAAGTTTGATAAAAAAATTACTTTCGTAGAAGTCATTTTCGGCCGTATCTTTCTATTGGACGGAATTCGATTATTATTTTTTTTTTATGTGAAGCTTACTATTTTTTCTATGGGGGCTAAAACACCGATTTTTGATTTGGCTATCAGAAAATTAGTTAGATTTATTAGATAATACCATAAAGAAGTAAAAATATAAACGCTTATACTACAATTTTGAAAACAGAATCATAAAATCGGCTTTTTGGCTACCCTAGAGAAGATGTTATACTTTATAACAAAAAAAATTATAATCGGTTCAGTAGACAGAAGATGACTGAAAATGTTGCGATTTCTGTTTCCCATAACATAAGTGCCCACTGTACACACAATGAGTTACCTAAATATTAATATGATTCTTAAAAAGTATTTTAAATAGTGAAATGCCCCTTAATTAATGGTAAAAACTAAAAATCACTATAAACCAAATATTTTCAATGTTTACGGAGATTTATAAATTTATGACTACGTTTTTTTCATATTTACCTTTGATACATTATTTTAGGTATAAGAAAATGCTCATGCGATCCAGTTTCAATAGTTGGGTCACTTATGTAAAAACACAAATCCCCCCACACCCTAGGATTAAGAGTAATAAATGTAGGCTATATATATATAAATTATAATTTTCTAAATCATAACCAAATGAAAAGCATAATGCTCGATTTAGAAAGATATTCGTTAAATGTTGTGAAATTTAGTTTAACATAAAAAACAAGTTTCCTAAATCCAGTATAATTGACCAGTCAATGGGTTGTGCTAAAAAATGAACTAAATATCGCCTTTTTTCTGTCCTGTTTCAAAAAGCAACTTTACACATTATTTTAATTTAAAGCTACAGTTCGTATGAGTCAACCAAAGGCCGAAATGGACCAAAGACTAATCAACTATTATGGAAACATCATTTGGTGATTACGACTAAAAGTGGACTTGCGACTTTTTAGAATTACTGATGAAATATACTTATTAATACGGTAAAAAAGGTTTTCGCTAATATTTTTTAGAATATTAATAATTATTTTTAATGCTACCAGTGTTCAGGTTCATCATTTCCTCAACCTAAATATATAAAATATATGTTTAATTCGGTCTGTAGATGGTGTTAAAACAAAAACACATATTATCAAATCGATATAGTAGCAATTTTACGAGGGTAGGTATTAGGTAAAGTGTCTATAAACTTTTGAAATGGTTCTGTAATATTTTGTAAACAAAAATCGACTTTTTTATACTTTTTTTCTAGTTGTAACCTTACACGATTTCAAAAAAACTTCCAACGTAGTGCCTTACAACATAGAATATTTGTTTTCGATTTGATAATTTACTTTGAGTGTGTTCACTTTTGGTCTATTCAAAAGACTTTTAAAACAAATATGTGCAATCACGTTGATCTACAAAAACAGTATAGCTTTTTAGCATACATATTAATCACACCAAATGTAAATTAAAAACAGGGCCGACGGAAGGGGGTATTAAACTAGGCAGCTGCCTTGAGCCCGCTGTACCGAGGCTTCTGACCTTTGTAAAATAAGAAATTTAAAAATTATACATCTCCTATACAATGTACAATTATATTAGCGATCGCCTTGAAAATAAATGATGTTTAATTTTGAAAACAATGAACTACTTACACGGTTTTCTGATAGTGATAATCTTGTAGGAAATAAAGAAGGTATATAGGTACCATTTACACAGTTTAAGAGTGATCGCTCCAATATAATAAAACGTAGGTATATAATATTATCCTATAGTTATACTACTTGCATAGATAGTTGTTACATTTTGAAAGCCTTAGTCAATCGAATTCCATGGGTAGGCATTTTCAAAAAAGGCAATCGAAATTAATCCCTCCTAAATTTTAAAAAATGTTGGTCCGCCTAGTTTACATTTTCCATTTTGTATCAGTTAAAAAATTTGACTCTTATTTAAGGGGAAGTATTTTTTATTTTTATTATTTTTTAATGCACGATGCATAAAATTGATTAATATCTATTTTTGAGGTTGCCGAGTTCGAATTTGGTATTTGTTTTAAAATTATTAGTGTTGTTTTCTCTATAATCCAAAAATTAAAATATTTGTCGTCTAGTTAAACGAATTACTTAGAAAAATAGAATTTTAAATTGTCAATTCTCCAGGTGATATTATACCAATAAGGTGAAATACTCGCGGGTTACCTTTTTTTTTTTACCGTTTAAGTCGATAAAGCTATGAAAAGTACAAAACAAGATCAACATTAAATAACTCGCAAAACTCATAATTAGGTATATTAATTATACACATAATATAGAATGTTATATATAGACTATAGTAGAACCTAAAAGTAATTAGGAAAATTTGGGACCTCGACAGCGTTTAACCCATTCTAGGAAATTAAGAGGGGAAAAAAACTAAGTATTTATAACAATAAATACCGATCACGTTTGATAGAAAGCAAAAAAAAAAAACGGAAATCGTACCACATAAACAACCCGTCCCTTCGTTGCGTTTACACGGTGTGCGTTCGACACAGGTGAAGTCGAGGGTTAGGTTAGGTTAGCCGGTGTGTGTGTGTATCTTTATAATAATAATAATATGTAAGATGTGTGTGGCGACAAAGAATCGAGCCGCACAGATCAAACAAGTCGGTGTCTTTTGACGAATCATCGAAAACCTTTTTTCCCTTCTCTCGCGTTCTCCTTGGCCCGGATGATTTACAAGTGTTGCATAACATCATCATTATCGTGTACATACATATAATATAAGCGTTTTCTTAGGTTTTTTTTCCTTATCCCCTGTGCGGTCATCATTGTTCTGCGTACCGTGAAAAGGACAGCGGCGGCCGAGGCTTTCTCTCCTCCAGGTCAGCGCAAGCGTCAGGTATAATAATATAATATACATGTACATCAAATACTTATAATCCGAAACGATAATAATATTTATCGCGTTTGACACTTCAATAAAAGCTACATTATTATTATTGTATATGATTTTTTGGCATCGCCGCCATCGGAAAACCCTTCTGTTTTTTTTCCCGCTCTTCTCCTTCGCCGCCAAAGACATACAATAAACCCATAATATTATAATATAAGCGCTTCGATCACGCCTACAGGGAAGATTAGGGAATAATTTAATGGTAGATGTTCTCAAAAAGACACCTATATTAATAACAGTTCATCATATTAAGTAGGTTAGGTAATTGGTGTAAATTTTACGCGACTAAAATCTGGCTAGATTAATATTTTTATGCCATATGTAATATTAAACAGGAATTTGGACCGCGGAAGAGTTTATGAATTTCATTAGTCTTAAAGGTGTAAATTACAGTATAATCTATGTACGTATTGTAATTTATACATTTTATTAGCTAGACTCAACCAAATCTCCCAGTAAATCTAAGAAAAATCGAGGTTCTTATTTACATCATTTTTACGATTGTTCAGTATAAATTGTCCAGTATAATATTTATTAAATAAGAAATAATATATTGTTAATTTAATCGACGGAATAATAACACCTATTGTTTAATTATTGACATATAATATTAAATAATAGAGAACTTACAAGGATTCATTTATCAATTTCATAATAACAATTATTAAAATGATAAACATTGTATTTAAGCACCAAACACAAATTTTTTTATTGCAATTTTTGATTTTAAATAGTTTATTTACCAATTTAGCATTATTACTACCTATTCTATTGTCAAAAATTGATAAATGAAAATTATTATACCTAATTATAATATGATACCTTAATGTAAAATTTGCCAACAATCTATAAATTAAAGCCATTTAAATTATTTTTCTGATAGGAATGAAATAGTTCTAGTTAAAATGCATATTTTATTACTGATTTATACATTAAAATTGTACTAGGTTAGGTGTAGTTTATGGACACAATCTTTTTTATTATTGAAAAGTGTCGAGAATTATACAAAAATAAAATAAAATATGGTATTTATAATTTAAATTATTTTTCAACTTAATAATTATTGTGTTTTATTTGAGATCTGCCTGCGGCCTACTTAATAATAAATTTAATTAGTACAGTAAAATATGTTTTACAAAAAAGAAAAGAAAAAACGTTCACCGTACTTAATTAACGTTACGAGCAAATTTAGTAATTATTTTAATATAAGCTGTTAAGGGTACGTTATACACCCAATTTTCTAGGTAATTTTGGAGCAAAAATACTTATAACGAAACCGAAAGATGTCAATATATAGGAGACAATTTCGTATCCTTTTTTTTTTTTTGATAAACCTAATATTTTAACATTTAAAATCACATTTTTTTCCTTTTCAAATTAACTATAACATTATTTACGCGACAATTATTTTTAAAATCGTATACGGCATATGTCTCTGAAATATTGTTATCTTTCGATTTTATACCAGGTATTTTTGCTCTAAATTCACTATAGACCGTGTAAAACGCATTCTGTGTTGCTAGTTCGGATGAAACATTTTTTTAAAATCGCTGTCAATAGGATTCTGTGATAGCCCGAAAAATAAATTAACTACCAACAAATAATTCTAATTACCAGACTAATAATTACACATTACAGTTTAAGCTTTAATTTAAGATTTTGCAAAAAAATTTCCTATACCTAACTCCTTAATAAATAGAGGGTATCACGTCCTCTTATTGTACGAACATTTAAATTTATATAATTTTGATGTACTCAAAAATGAGCTACCCGCTACAGTTAGCTTATCTAGCGTTAACAAATAAATTAATCTATCTAGTAATTAATATTTGTATAGAGAAAAGTAGTATTTACCAGGTTGGGGGCGATCTTGGTACTCGATCCTTTTCATCCAACCGTACGGGCTGACACGTCCGTTTTGTCCAGGCGGCGAAGGCTGATGTTGTACAGGCGGCCAGTACTTGTAATCGGTGGCCGGTTGGTAAGCGACCACCGGCTCGTCCAAGGACGTGCCAGGGGACGAGCAGGTGGCCGTCACTGTGGCCGGATTGTAAGGCACCGAGGTGGCCGCTACCACAGGCTGATGGTGGTGAGGCTGATGGTGATGATGGTGGTAAACGACGTCCTCGTACGAGGGCCTCCTCCGATTGTACACCGGCCACGCGTAACCATCCACCGCTTGATGATGGTGCAGCGCCGACGTTACCACCGGGTCATGGTGTTGCTGCTGTTGGTGATGATGGTGCAGCTGTACTTGATGTTGCTGCTGCTGCTGCTGTTGTTGTTCTTGTTGCTGTTGTTGGAGATGGTGGTGACTGTGGTGGTGATGATGGTATTCGGCCACAGCCGCGGCAGCCGCAGCAGCCGACTGCCCGTACGGCGTCCACGTGGATCCGGCCAGTGTGGCCGATGGCTGCTGAGCTTCGGTGCTTTCATCGGCGGCCGTGCAGTGCACGACACCGTCGTGGTGATAAACCGGAGCTTGTAGTTGTCTGCATACGGTCACCGATTCGTTCATGATGACCAAGTACAACCGAACATACCGTAAAAAAATAGCACAATATTATAAATAACGGAACGACTTGTGTGACGGAAAATAACGAGAACAAAATAGAAAAAAAGCGATAATTAAAAATCGACGGCAAGCTCTCAAACTTAATATCGGTAGAACGGTATACCGATTTTGGTTTAGCAAATTATGGTGATTATTTTTGGCGACGTTGACATTTCGTCTGAACACGGTAGACCAGATGCAGTCAAGAGTGCATGTAAGTACAGTCGTAATATTATTGTTGTGTTATTAAATAAACATAATAATATTATTATTAGGCGCGGGATCGATTAAGACTGATGAGAACGTTGTGTGCGCGCTGCATGCGTAGGTATCGTTCGAGCCGTGCGGGATTCGTGTCGCGGACGTGGGGCCAACGAAACGGGCGGATTCGAGCCCCTCCCGTCGGCAGCCGTCTCGGCCAATTGCAACCCGAGTCCGTTGTGGTCGTGGTCGGAACTCCGACGGCCACTCCACGCCGTGGCGGCGGCGGCGGCGGCTGCCGTCTTTACTATTGTACTATTTATTATTATTATTATTATTAGTAGTATTATTATTGTACGGCGGCGCGGCATACACATTCAAGTCCCGTCCCAACATCAAGAAAAACTGCCGCCGCCGCTGTTTAACCCATTTATATATACCACACGAATTTCAGGTAAGGATTACGTAGGTACCCCATACAGTGGTCGTCGGTTTGGGTTTTTTTCTCAACATTTTTCCGGTAAAAGCCATATTACACGCACCATTCTTTTATTGACACGTATATACCTGAATAATGTAAGTTTTATCGCCGTATCAATGCATTACATAATATAAAATATATTTTTCTTTGCACATTCATAGTGTCACAATATTATTTTGCATAGTGTCATAATATTATGCTAGTAATTAGTATAAAGCAATTATTATTTGTACCAGAATGACTATAATCTATATTAGTGGAATTCTGTTGAGAAATTTCGTTTTTTGACACTTCAAAGTTTGAGTTAACTTTTAAAAATATTTCAAAATGTTCTTTTTAAAAAAAAAATTGATTTACTAGTTAAATTTCTTCTACAGTTAACCAATACAACGATTGAGAATAACACGCACGATTAAGACATTAAGTATATTATAAAAATATATACCTATCTACATAAAAAAAATTATTAGTGTGTTAGGCACGTACATTTTAATAACGTGCCGAGTTATTTTAGCTATAAACATTTTTATAGATGAGCGAACTAAAACTTTTTTTCTTCTTTAAGCATGTTTAGGTTATATATTGTTATAGTTGTTACATACGGAACATACAGGTTTGCATAGTATTTATACATTCTTCATAACGTGCATAAGCCAAGCTCGTGTCTGTATATACTTAGATACATGCCTATAGGATGCATCACTGTATAGCTAAACTGAACTGAAATAATATAATGTATCAAATAATAAAAATGTGTCTAAATTTGTCAGATCAGAGTGATACAAAAATAATGAAATGTTTAAATAATTATTTAAAGATCTATTATACAGTATCACCTAAGTTTACACCGCAATTAAACATAATAGACATATATTGACGTTAAATATTGTAAATGTGTTTCAGATATTCATAATAATAATAGGTACCTAGTCTACTTGCCAGTGATATAGACGTAGTATAATTATTTACTTGTACTTTTTTTTTACGTATAATAATTTTACATGTTTTATAATTGAATATTTTAATAATCTAATAATTAATATTGTTACCACACATAAATAACGTAACATGTATAAATTAATTTTGTCCAGTTTCTAGGAAATAGAGTTATGTCCAACAAAAGTTATAATTAAAGTTAAAACATTTAAATAAAATATTTCTATAAATCCATGTGTTATTAAATATGATAAAAATAAATTTTAAAAAACTTTAAAAATAAAGAAACATACTACAAAATGTAAAAAACTTATACTTACCGTAGGAGGGAAGGGGACTTTAAAAATACAGATTTCCAAAAAATACGATAAAATATGCTACTATTTATAAGACTTCAAATGCATTTTATACATTTTAAACGTTTTATTTAAAAAAAATGTCTAAACAGAAGTACAGTACAAACAATTTTTGTTTAAAAACAATATTGATCACTGTGCAATACTGAACTATGAACTAAACAAATGTCGAAGTTTTGAATTTAAATTTCGAATTCAATCTATTTTAATTACTCAAATTTTGTAGATTTGGTATTTCATTCAGTTTTGACCTTTAAAATTTTCGATAACTTGTTCACCAAATATTTTTAGTTTAGATACAACTCTACAAATTGTACCTAAAATGAGTATAAATTAGAATTGTATAGGTATGGCTAAAATAACGTTTATATGATAAAAATCTAAAGTCTGCTGTACCTACTTACCACTTCTAATTTATAGTGATCACAACAATTTATACTATACCTAAATTCCTTAAAAATTAATAAGTAAAAAAATAAAACGCGTACAATTTTGAAACATCGGTAATAATAATAAGTATAAAATTAAACGTATTACTATACATTTAACTTTATCCGAAGGTTCTGGTAGGTATTTCCTTTTTTTTTCGAAAGATAATTCCATTTACGTTAGTCACGATCAAAACAAATATACCTAATATTCGTCATACGGTCATACCATAGAAGAACTTATACCTAGTAAAATATATTATAAAATACTGTTTATTTTAATTTGGATATGAATAGTAAAAAAAATAAAAAATAAAAAAGGCACCAATCAGCTAACTAAAATATATATCTATGTTGTAAGTTATATTTATATCAGGAGTTTTATCACAATTGAATAAGTAAAATTATTTGTAATTAATTAGTAATTTTTGGTAATTTGTAATAATCAATTGAAAATGTATTCTTAAATAATTAGAGGTTAAATTAGGTGGGACGAAATACCTAATTTCTTTGTTTATAAACTAAATACATACAAATCTATTATACATATATGTATTCAAAAAGTTGAGTTTGTGAGTTTCGCAGTTAATTATTTATCAGCTAAATATGTACCTATATTAGGTATTGATTACTGAAAAAATTATGTATTTATAATTTGTATCGTTTTCTTTATCTTATTTACAAAGTTAAGTACCTAAATATGTATATCTAATTATTAAAAAAAAATTTAGCAACAGCCATTTTGTCAGTGCCGCTAGTCACGTTCACATACCTACCTTTTAATAAACAAACAATAACGTACATACTTATATGAATAAAATAAAATAGTAAGTAACAATAATATAATCAGCATTTAGTGACTATACATTTAAAAGCGTTTTACCTAATTGTTAAATGTTATTTGTTTGCTATAACGTGTAATCACAAAAACAATTAATAAAAATAATATATACTTGTTATTTTAAGGCTGTATCATTTAAGTTACTGCAAAGGCGGGCCAAGTCATTTTTTAGAGAATTAAATGAATTATGTTTACATTTTCCATATTAAACTATAAATAAATGTCTACAGAAAATAATATTTTCTTACTAATATTATATAGGTAGGCATATTTATCTACGCAATGTAATTAAGTGCGTGTCATTATTCTGTGTTCCCTTAATAAAACTTACAAGTTTGTGAACGGTTGTTACACTTTTGAATAGTATAATATTATAAAACTTAAGATTATGAATTATCTAAAACAAATTAATATACCTATCATTCACTAACTCTTTATAGTTAACAATTAATATAAATTTGGAATTTCGACTTTTGGTGGTATTATTTAGATTCTCTTTTGATCCTCTGTAACCTGTTTAATTACTGAATACTAAATTACCTTACCACTAGATTGGTTCCCATTGAAATCCGTTTCGACCTAACCGTATTTTGATAGACCACATGCAATTTCGAATAGACGTCCCATAACCAAGGAAATACTATTTGATATTTTTTGGCATGTCCTTTAGATAGTCTTCGCATAACATTTAGTACATTAGATACCTATCTTATAAGTTATAACAATTGCATAATTAAATAGGAACTTATAAATCATTTCATATCTATTGTAGCTTGGATATTATACAAAACTTGTAAAAATAAATGTATAGGTATAACTTACTTAAAAAACAATACAAATAATGTAACGTATCCTGGTCAAACTAACATGCTCTAATAGCCTTAAATGAGCAATTATGTCCAATCGTTTCGGAGGCGGATAGGAAAAGCCATTGGGTACATTTAAAGTTTACACACATACTAATATTGTGCAATATAAATTATAATCAGTAATATAGCACACAATAGTATTATCAGGTAGCTAATTTAATTTTTGTAATAATTAATATATCAACATGTTATATTGATACATAATAGTTAATACATTTTTTCTGTATCGCTGTCACATACCCATGTACCTATCCTTAATCTATAAGTAGGTACACGTATATTCTTAAGTTGATTTGTAGAAACCTTGAGAATTAATCGGTATAACTACAACCTCTATCTACTGTATTTTGTTTTTTTGATATATAGTCAATTGGGCAACTAACTGTTGTATACGAATATTCCTTAATGTTTTGTAAATACAAAACTATTTTTTTTTCATATTTGTTTACAGTGTGTACAAACATTCCTATAGAAAAATTAAATGGTTTAAATGATTTATATTATGTATTGCGTTTAAACAATGTTTCAACGAATTTTGTATTATATAAACACAAATTAGATTCGTTTTAGAAAATATTGTTATTTACCTATCATATGTTAATTATAGTTTTAAAATTGTGTTTATTTATATTTATGTTGTCTAAACACAATTTGTTATTCTTAAATATAATTAAAGTTTTTTTTAAAAAAAGCCTTAAAATATTATTTTTATACCTATTACAGCAGGCAATTTTTATTTTCGTGTAAATAAATAACAATACTTCAACTTTTGTTAGTATTCAAAATGAACAATGACCAAGTAAGTAATTTAAACATTTCATTAATCATATTCGTTTTCTGGTTATTAAGGTTCTAAAATGATCTGTCCTTAATAATATCAATATGAGGCAAATTTTATTTGATAAGCTTGCTTATTATTTATCCGATTGCGGAAACAAAAGGGTAATGTGTTTAGGTGTAGGAATTTATAATTTATAAGATGCACAAACCTTCTTGGGATTTTGTAAATAATAAATAAAATAGTTAAATATTTTTTAGCTTTTTTTTCGGATGATAATATGTCTATAAATATTAATTATTTTATTAGAAAGAAGATTTTACTGCTGTATTGTGGACGCCTAAGATGCAACACACTCGAGCTCAAAGACGGCATGTGAAGGTCCCAACCGTATCAACTCA